CATACTTTGCACAAATTATCATTATTACAAAAACTTTTTACGCAAGAATGCGGATGGTCTTCGGTGTAATAATAATATCGGCGAATAAAATGATTCTTAAGCCGTTTAAGGATTTAACGGTTCGTTGAGTCAACAACAAATTTCTAAATGAACCGGACGCGTCAAAGGTGAATTCACAAATTCCGTATAAATTCATCCCACATTCTTCTAACGGTACTATCTCACGCTGAGAGAAAGAATCTTCAGCGGCTTAATGACAATAATTATGTAATAGCAAGATCAATAGGAGGGCACCGTGGGTTCTCACATAAAAGTATTTCGCACGTAGACATGATAATGGTGGAGTCTGCTTCTGTAACGCGCGAAACGCGGGTAATTTGTGGCAACCGGAAGATGTACGATCCCGTACCAATAAATCTGTGTTTCATCATTGCGAGCACATAATGCACCGATATATGTAACAATGCATCTGTCTATATTACGCATTGCGGAAGAGTGATATTTTAGAGAACGGTGAGAAATTGATAAAAGTGAAAACTATGAATATGGAAGTATGTAAAAAAAAAATAGATTTAAAAAATGTGAAAAATTTATTTTAATTTGATCTGTAATTTATCATCCATGCTAAGTATAATGACTTCTATCAATTTGTAGCAATCTTCAAATTCTTGAATTAATTTTTTTGTAATAATTATAATACAAATAATAATTTTTTATGACCAATAATTTCTGTAATAATTTAATATATTAAAATATATTAAATAATATATTAAAATAGTGATTTAATGAACGAATAGCTCAAATCATAATTTCTCAAATTTTATGAAAGTACTTCAATCACTTCCTGAGAAAGATAAAATTTTTAATTTTTATCTTTCAACTCGAAAGAATATGATAATAAATTAATTAAATTTTTACTTGTGCCAAATAATAAAGTGATGCTATATGTGCTTATGTTAGTAACGTTTAAATAATTTAATAATTACAACATTTAAAAATATTGATCGAAATTTTATTGATTTTGTATTACACAATCCTACTGTTAAAATCTAAATTAAAATTCGTATAATGCATAAATCCAAAATTTTTGTGGTGAAAATAAGTTGACACGTAGTCAATATTTTTTTCGAAATTTTAATATTCTATAGTCGGAATTTCTGTAGACAGGACATCGATTCGCATATAAGTTACAACTTCTCCGACGTACTTTGACTATGAAACCGGGTATTATAGCGGAATTAAACCTGCTTCTAAAGTAGATATTACATAAAATATCGATGTTGTTTACTTCCTAGTGTAAAACCTAAAATTGAAATGAGATCAACGATTTGTGTGATTTAATCTCCAATGCTACACACAAATGTGAAAAAAAACTAGTTTATAATTCTCACGAATTTCCACTTTTTCAAATAAATACGGAATTTTTCATGTGTATGAAGTTAGCCCCACACTTTAATAAAATTAAAATAATCGAAATTGTACTGCATTGTACTAGTTTTGTACCAAATTGTACCGTAGTTAATTTTTTGAAATCACGCGCGGAAGTTACCGTATTTACCGTACTTAGTTAAAAAATTTCAAAATTCGGTACTTCCGGTACCGGTTAGACGGTCGACAAACTAAAATTACAAAGCGGTACAAACGGTACAAACGATTCTCTTTCGAACCCCGTTTGGCCGACGTTTCGATATCTTTAAAAACTAAGACCAAGTTACCGTATTTACGTATCATTAAAATTTCAAAATTCGGTACTTCCGGTCCGGTTGAGGTGCAAACGAAATTCAAAGCGGTACAAACCAGTACAAACGATTCTCTTTCGAACCCCGTTGGCCGCGTTTCGATATCTTAAAAAATAGCCGATTTGCTGTAATTACGTAATGTCCAAAATTTTTCGATTTTCTCGTTTTTCTCAAAATCCAAATTTGTTAGGAATTTTTTTCAAACGGTACAATGTTCGGTACAACTAGTACAATGTAGTACAGTCGAGAAAAAATCATTTTTCGAAAAGTGTGGGGCTACTCAAAAAATTCAAAAATTTTGATTTTTTGGAAATCCGCGCGTGATTTCAAAAAATTAACTACGGTACAATTTGGTACAAAACTAGTACAATGCAGTACAATTTCGATTATTTTAATTTTATTAAAGTGTGGGGCTAACTTCATACACATGAATTTTTCGGCATTTTTAAATCTGATTTTCTTGAAAGAAAAACTTTGTATAAAAAATATATATTTATTTTAATGCATTAAAAATCTTTTATTTTGTATTTCCTTAGTATTTCGCGAAAGTAGAGTTATTCCTTCCCTGGTTGGATAGCATTAAAACCTCAACTCACCATAGTCACACTTTCAACATCTAAATCCAATTGACTGTACAATAGCAATTACGTCATTCAAATTTAACCGCAGTAACCGAGTGTCCATTCGACGCATCTCGAATAATTCGCGCGATTCGCATCGCAACGTTGATCGTTTCGCGCAACAATGAATCCCGTGCCCATTGATTGCAACGGAATGCAGAAGGACGAGAAAGCGGAAGCGGGTCGAAAGTAGGAATGAAAATTGTTTCCTGTTTTTCATCGCGCAGTGTAACACATCGAAGAGAATAAAAACCTATTTTATTCAATTACTTGTACATATAATATTTAATTAAATAAGTTACTTATGCAATTGTTACATGACTTTGATTTTTCTAAAAATGCGTAAAAAATTTAGATCGTAGTACATTTATTCTACATTTTACTTGATCTACGTAAAAGAAATAAATAGGCTTCAATTTAAAAATTTATATATTTATTTAAATAAATCCAATCTGAATTTCTGATGAATCAATGAAAAATAATCTTAACTTTTTGTTCCCAATTTATTTAATAGCTACAAAAAAAATATTTGTTCGTATTTTCGTACATATTTCATAACAAATAAATCATTTATAAAAAATTTTCACATTTTAAAAACGTTTAAAGACTTTTTTTATTTGTTACTCTTTGGCAATAAATTTTATTTTTTTTTTGGCAATCATGTGCAATAATTTGCATTGTAAAATTATTATAAATAAGAAAAATCTTTTTTTCTTACTTTCGATATATAATTAGTAAATCTATAACTACAGTGGGAACGAAAGGGTTAAAAGAAGAAAAATACAGCATTTTCTATACAATAGAATATAAATCTATATCTCAATTCTCTAAATCAGATAAATTTGTGCGTCGGCGATACGCAAGTGATGAGAATCGCGTTCCGGTCAACATTATCGTTACCGGATGCGCAGGAGCTTGTCTCCTACGATCGATCAATGATAATGTGGTCATAAAAAGCAGATCCGCGAGCGAAACGTCGCATTGACGCAGATTACAGCAGAAAAACCAGAAACAGGATTCCAGTTTGGAGATGATGTTTGGAATACAGGATTCCTCATACGAGAATCGATCAGGAATTCGCGTAATTCCCTGGGTCGTCGTACCATAAGGACGAGACAGTAACGATAATGATAATTGAAATCGCGAAATCGTTAATTACAAGTCGTAAATTATTGGATCATTACCGGTTTGACCTTTGACGATAAGCGAGTAGAACATTAAGAAGAAAAAAGAACAAAGAACCGGATAGTCGATAATTACGATCGTAATTTGCAGATGTTAAGTATATATATATAAATATAAAACAGAACGTGCTATAAAATTATAGCTAGAGTTTTACGAGATGTTGTAGTCGTCGTCGCGTGCAGGAATGCAGAACCCGACGACGAGAACAATGTTACGACTGATTAATAGCTGGCAGAGCGTGATAGGGAATTCCGTGAGAATTTCGAGATGACTATCTCGAAATAAAATTTATTAATTTATTAGGAGGAGGCGGGATGTACGCGCGAGATGAATATGAAGTAAGAATTCGCGCGCCCCGTCGCGAACGTATTTATTTTGTTTGCAAAAGTCCACCGCTCGGCCTCTGAAGGCCGTTCCTAAATATTGTCAAATAAATCACGCAGCGCACAGGCTATATTGCAAAATTACTGATATTAATCGCGCTTCACTGGAATAAACTATTTATCAACGAATAACAAAAAATATCGAATATCGAGGATCTGCATTTGCAGAATTGTATGCGCTAACATGCAATTTTATTGTTAAATTAAGTTTTTAATCGGCTTGTTACGCGTGATAGCACGCGACAAATTGTATGAAGCAGAAAACTGTCAATGAAGTAATAATTAAATTTTCACTGTTGAAAATTTCCACGAAGAGATGCCAGTAAAAAAGTCATGTATATTTCTAAAATATTTTTTAAGCATAATGATTGATATGCATGCATCAATACATATTGATTGTCAATTAATTCTGCGTTAAACGGAAATTTTTAATGCTAATTTTATATACTTTCCATACATTCCACTGTATTTTCTTGCATTTAAAACAAGACAAAATATACATACAGAATCAGACTTTGCAGAATATATTTATAGAAAGAGAGAAGAAACATTGGAGAGTAGAAAATACAACTGAAACGAACTTTAAAATAATAAATGTTATCAAATTTTTATCAAGATTTTTGCTTCTCTGTTTCCTTCTTTAATTTTATTTTTAGAAAAAATCCGTTAAACCCAAGTTAAACAATTTTTTCCTATTTTATATCTAAACTCAATGTTAATTTATATTTATAGAAGTAAACTTGATAAAAATATATGCACATAGAACTTTTCATAATTATATAAAAATAAACGATAAGTATAGCATTATAACACACATACGTATGTAGAGGAACAAAAATGCGATAAATAACTTCGGAGAAGACTCTTTTTTTTTATCATCGAATAGAGGCTTTGAAAATATATCCTGCCTTTGACTCGTCAAGTAATGTCGCGCGTAAGAATTCGGATATAAATTTTTGAACACGACGGTATGTAACAGTACGTCTGCTATATGTGTGTGTAGTATCATATAAAAATACACACATATATATATATATATATATATATATATATGTGTGTATATACATACTTACGTAGTCCACGCGGCGTTCTGTCCACAGCGAGGCGCCATTCGGCAATCAGGAAATCCCATACTTCGGATGTTTTGCTTACAGAGAGGATCCTGGATCGGTAGTACTGGCCAGACAGTTAGTTGAATTGATAATGAGCGGCGCGTGCTAGATTGGTCTGGTGCCGAGGCGGCGATTACGGAATTAATCCGGCCCCCGTGAAAATTTATTCCTGCTCCTCGCTTCTCTAATCTTCTCTTTCATCACAGCTACAAAAACTGATAGATCGTTCGAATAAATAGAAAAATAAATAATGCTTGCGAATTGTGACTTGGATTTTTCGCGAGGCAAAGAAATTCGCATATGCTAAAATGTCATTCGAGTATTAATTTTTTACGTTATAAAGTTCTTTAAAAATGTCAATTTATGTACGTTCCATTATACATATATCTTTACATATTTTTCAAAAATATAATAATAAAAAATAAATTTTTGATTGCGATAAAAAATTATACAATTTAATTGTAATTATGCATAAATTTAGAGAATAGAAATTAACAATTTTTAATTACAACTACAATTAAAAATTATATTTACCTGAGATTTTCGAAACGTAACGATAGTTTTAGAGGAAGTAGATTAGTAACGGATCGATTATGAGTGTCACGACTCTTGCGAAAGTGACTGGTCGCTGTTTGAAGATAATTGTCGGCGGTGATTCAGGTGAGAGAAACTTTTACGCATCTGAGTAATAAGACTCCGTATCGGTGTCATCTCTCTTGAGAGGTATCCGCGACTTTGCTAATGTTCCTATTCATGCATAATCGTACACTCGTGTGTCTGTCACAAGGCAAGGTCGTACGCAAGGTTGGCACGTAACGTTACGCGATGCGCCGTAATTTATTAGTGTGATGTATCGCGAAACTGAAAGAGAACCAAGTTCGCAGTTAGTGATCGATGGAATGTTTTTTTCTCATCTCGGAATAGTTTGGTTCTGTGTGTACAGTGATGATTCAAATTTGTAATTCAGCCGCGCAAAGTTGAAGCGCAAAGTCAATATTTTCCAACTAAAGAAGGTAGAACTCTTACATCCGGTTGAGCTTTCTATTTCGTAAATCTAACATCGGTTAACGAATTGACCAAAATATATAATGTGTGTAATCAAGTGTGTTGGTGTAAAATGAGATAAAACGTGAGATTTCTCTTATACTTTCATCATTCGTAGAAACCATAGCTCATCGCGAAAACATTGATCCTGACAAGTTAAAAATTCAATTTTAATTACTGGTTTAATTAATAAAATTTTAATTTATGTAATTGTATCCATATTTAATAGCATTTTGAAAAAAAATAACGCCTAACATGTATTTTGTTATCGCAAAAGTGACTTGTGTAGTGTGAACGAGCAAGTCAGTAATGTTTTTCGTAACACTCAGTTGACACTCGACGTGAACGTTGAAAAATGTAAATTGGAAACATAATTTAAATCTAATCGAAAACTAGTTTAATAGTCATCGATTGTCTGAACAAACTTACATTTTACATCTGCGCATTCTTCTGTTGATGTCAATGTGAATAATGTCGGAGAGCCGTAAAATGTTAACTCGGCGCCAAGTAGTCGGGCGATGTTACTAGCTTTATAAGGGGCTTGATTAGGCATTCAAATTTGTTTTGCAAAGTGCTCAAAGGAATTTCTTAATCGCGTTAATTGGCATCCGATCGATAGCTTGAACAATCTTTGGCCTTTGTCATTCGAATTTAATTCACAATATTTCATCTAACTAAAATTTTATTATTTTCTCTGCAAAACAAATAAAGAATTTCTCTTTCTGTTACACAGAACAGAATTTCCATCTGATATAAATCTGAATTTAAATCTTATTTTAAAATTTACACATACAGTCCTTTTACATAAAAATGTTTAAATAGATGCAGATAAGAGTAACGAAAGATTTATATATAATTTATATCTCGTCATTATCTCACAAATTGCAGAATTATTCAATAACGTGAGGATACGCCTCATTTGTATTTACAAGTCGAATGTTGAGATAACATTTTACGTAGAAAAAAACTTGATACGAATACTTATTTTCTGGATTTCAAGAAAAGTCAGAATTTTTTATATGTATTAATAAACGTAAGCAATTACCTTGTTCTGTTGTGTAATTTTGCGTTATTTTGTTTTCAGAATTTTAAATGTCACTTCTGATATAACGTTGATAAATTTCATAAATTCTTAAAGAAAAATGGAATGAATCGCAATCAATAATAGAACAGGCGGCAAGCGCCAGACGTCTTGTCTTACACAACCGTTTTCATGTGTAGATGTGTAGGTTATCGTTCATCAACTACACTCAACGAAAACTACCTAAAAATTTCGTAAATATTCTAGCAGGTTTAATCAATCATCTTGTGTCTCATTGGAGTTGCATATGAAATCACAAAGAAATCTTGTGTGCGCGTGTGTGTCAAAATTATTATTTCGAAATATTACGCATACCTGTAAGAATACGTGATAAATAAACAAACGCGGGGATTGTAAATATAAAAATATATTTCGCGTTTGTGAACAGTTGCAATAGGAATTCGCTTTTAAAATATATGGAGTCCAGTGTGTAAACAATGTATCGCATAACGCGAATTAAACAATTCACAAGTAACAAACTTTTAAAATATATATAATGACAGCTTTAACATATTCATTGTGCTCTGTTTTTTTTATGGGGGAGACATTTTTCGTATTACAAACATATGAACATCTATTTATAGATCACATATTATCATATATATAATGTTTCATATGTTTAACGATTTATCATTTTCAGCACACTGTTGGTATGTGCATTCAGTGTCTCCCGTACGCATGATGGGATTGATGAGCTGTAAAATAAACAGTATTGTTTCTTGTATCGCAAACGATTTCTAACAACAGAATATTAAGAGACTTACGCTTATAAAATTCTCCCAAAAAATTCACATTAGGCACTAGAGAATGAACTTTCTGCAAAATTGTAGCTTTTGATTCAAGTGTAGCATTAATGTTCCAAATCTAAAAACAAAAATATTCGATTACATATTGTTGCAACATTGTCAGGCTTTGAACACACCAATTTACAACATATATATACCTGAATAAGGTCTTCCCTATCACGAATGGATACAGTCACTCCGCAGATTTCATCATCCTGTGCTACATGTGTGCTAAACTGTTCTCCAATAGCTGCCAGCACCACTTCTTTCCATACATCTGCCTAAAAAATACAAAATATGTTAGATGCCATCAAAGATTTTATAGTACGCATCTAGAGGATAATTGATATTGGCATAAATACATCAGAATACCTACAGTATCACTTTTATGGCACTTTAATCTCCAAGTTCCTCCCTTTTGATTCACTTTGTCCTCCCATAAAGGGTATCTGTCATCTCTCATTAAATGGTAACTATATTTAACCTGTAATAAAAACAATGAAATATCAGTCTAAGGTACATTACATCAGCAAACTTATTTTCTCTATGTATAGATTTTTAATTATTATACCTGCATTTGTCCAGCATTTGGTATATTATTAAAAACTGCCCAGAAATTTTGCACAGTATTTACTGTATAGATCTTCTGCAAATTGGCTTTGTATTCTTCGGCAGTTGTGCCATGAATGGCTCTGTTAATTCAACAAGTGTTTTAAGAATATTTAGTATTAATCAATACAGTTGAACAAACAAAACAAGGAAATAGATCATTTTATCACACATAAAAATATATATGTATATATTGTTTATCTATATAAGAAAAATTAATACAGAATATTTAAAACATTTTAAAGAACTGGCTCAAACTATCAAAACAGAGTTTAGATACATTAATTATTTTACATATTTTCTATCACCTTCTGATGACTTAGCATTATCTTTGAAATATTCTGTTTAAGTACATAATCAAATATATTAATGAAGTTCTCATCATTAGTGAAATTAACAATTTTATTGTTTCTTACTCTGCACAAAATGTTCATGCATAATTAATTATTCATGCATTGCGTCAAGATATGAATATGTAAAGGCGCTTCTTTGATGCAATGACGATTGTGAGGAGAAAAACGTGTTGTGTTTATAAAAACACAGCTTGTTATTACGCCTTAAAATTGTCTTGTATTTAAACAAAGCGAGGTTAAAGGTGACGACCTTATAGATATCGAATCGACCCTTCGACAAAACTTGTCGTGAGTGTCGTGGAACTTACAAAATGTTTACGATATGACGTTTGACAATAATCAGCAAGATAAGATCGGAATGCATCGTCAGTGATGCACTTGTATGTGCATTGACGAGTCACACAGTGGAACGATTATGCGAGGGAAATTTATTACTATTCTTTCTTACTTGTCCAGCCAGAAAGTCCATGGTGTCTGCAACGGAATGGCGGATCCCTCGTCTTCCTCGATCGTCTTGACGGTTTCATCAGACAGAACCGTTGATTTTAACAAGTCCGACGATGTGTTCTCCTTCGCTTCGCATTCCGCCGCGGCCATGTTCGAAACGACGATGCAAGCAGTGCTACAACGTCAAAAATCATGTGATCGTCGCCGCCGTCGCCACCCAAGATCTATAGAGAGAAGGTTACCTCAGGAAAACCGGTTGTGGGCGAGGGACGATGAAGTAAGGGGAGAGCTAGAAACAGCTTGGTGGCGAGGGGCGATGAAGGAAGGGGAGAGCATGAGATCTCATTGACAAACAGTAGCTGTCTCTCTCTTTCAAAGTTCTTCCTTTTCTAACTGTTTCTATTCTCTGTCACTCGCTTGCATTTATTCTTCAAAGAACTTATGTACGCATTAAATTTATAATACTGCCAAAAAAATCGCAAGCACGTAGGTAATAAGAGGAAAGCTGAAGATAATCAAAGAAGAGTCGCCAATAAATATAAAAAAATTATTAATCAATTTAACGCAATTAACAGATTAATACAACATATATGTATTTTTATTATTATAGATACTTATAAAAATTTTATTATTATACTTGTATACTTATTATATTTATTATACTTAATTTTTATTATAGATACTCTTATAAAATTTTATAATCACAATGTTGCCGCATATTTAATGATCCTTAATATACAGGGTGATTCAAAATAACTTGATGTCCTTGCAATGCCATATTCGTGAGCGAATTCTGAGACGATTTTTCCTTTTACAAAATTTTATCCGAAGCTTAGTTTTTGAGTTATAATTGAAAATAGGTAGCAACTTACGAGTTCGGTACAACGGGCAGGCAGGGACGCACAATGTATAATGAGACTGTCAAGTGTTTACTGTCGTCTCATGACGCATTGCTCGTCCCTGCCTGTCCGTTGTATCGGACTCGTAAGTAGCAAACTATTTTCAATTATAACTCAAAAACTAAGCTTTGGACAAAATTTATAAAGGAAAAATCGTCTCAGAATTTGCTCAAGAATATGGCATTGCAAGGACATCGGGTTATTTTGAATCATCCTGTATACCCCATCATATTTGCTTTAAAGAATTATTTTAAGATTTCAACAGAAACATTTCAATAATATTTCATTAGCAAATATTTAAAAATTGTTAACACTTTGTAAATTTTATCATATAAATATTCACATTTGCAATGTTGAAACATGTATTACAATTTCATTATTTAAGTTTGTATCATAATAAATTTGTGTATAATGCTTTTTATATTACCCTAGAATAGTACTTACATTTATGAATTTCAGTTACAATTTCTTGACAATTTTTGAGGTTTTCACAATTAAATATAAAAATAAATTTCTTTATAGTATTTCTTTTGTAAATAATGCATATAAACAGTAAATATCATTTTAGAAATTAAAGTTTAAAATGTACTATTTTTTCTTTTATTTTACTACTTTACAAATGATGTTTTTTGTGTATATCCCCAAATTATATTTTATTTTCATTGATATTACAGTCTAAATACGAGTACAAAGCAATTTGTATTACAAATGCATCTGTTGCAGCGATATTTAACATTATAACGTTAAATATCTAGCGCTATAATTTGCAATATATGTAATTTATAGCGCCTTTCTAATTTACTTTTCCATTATTATTTCGCAATTTTCAGTACTATCAATATTTTACAAAATAAAAGTATTTTTTCGATAAAAACTCAAAGCATTTCTATATTAAAGGAGCGAGAGAGAAAACACTAAAGCGTGCGAGAGAGACAGCTATTGTTTGTCGATGAGATCATCATTGCCCCTCTTGCCGCTCGCCCCGCTCAGCATTTGCCCCTCTTGCCGCTCGTCTCTCTTTGCGCGTGAGGTAACCTTCTCTCTATAGATCTTGGTCGCCACCACCAATTGCCGTTGAAAACTGATGACGTTGTCGACGGAAAAAGAAACACATACTTTTTTATTACACGCACCAACAGATGTCACATATAGTATTTACAATTTGAAAATTGTGCGCTACAACGCGCACTAATATTCAATTTTTCTTAAAAAAATATAAGTTGACTTTTTTTATCAATAACGTAGAATAATCATGTATTTTTAATTCTTTATCACATTTGAGAATGTGTACAGTGTATTAATAAAAGGTATTTTTTTAAGAAAGAAATATTGCGCAGATGAAAAAATAAACAAAAACAATAAATAAATATATTTTATTGTTTCTTTTATAATTGAATGAATGAAATACTGAAATACTGGTTATAAATAAAAAATATGTTTATATTATGAGATTATGTATAAAAACTTATATGAGTAAAGTTAAAGCCACCTGTTGCAGCACTTTTTTATTTTTTCCACAGCTTAAAATGTATTATATTTTTAATTATTATAAAATAAAATATCTAATAAAGAATTACAAAGAATGTTTTCATTTTTATTTTGGGTATTCTTTTTTTATCAATTTGTAGTAAATTGCAAAACATGTTTGTCAGCAACGAACTGTTATTTCAGTAGTGTGTTATATTTTTTCAATCTCTCAATATATTTTTACCCAAATATTTGTTTAATTTGATTGTCTTAATTTCCTTATCTATTTTAACAGAGTTAAAATTAAATTTCTTCGATTATTTGCGCAATTTGCGTTATTGATCAACGCTGCGCTAGGAAGTATCTATTATAATTGGAAAAGCTATTTCGAGTGCTGTTAGAATGTTATTTATTGATATCTTCTGAGTCATCACCTATCGCATGTATTAAGTATTACGTATCAGATTAATACGATTATACGATATAGTCGTAAAAAACAGGCGACACGTATTCTTATATAAAAAGATCCCCGTCCGTATCGTTACTCCTTACAAATTATCCTTCCGTGTTTAACAAAAAACACATGTTTGATATCAAAAATTAATATTCATTAATGACAGATAAGTCAATTTATCGTGATGAGAGTTTCGCAATTAACACATGCGTCGTGTTCTGAGTGTATATGTGTCTATGAGACTACATGACTGTCTGGTTTTTGTGAGTAATATGATAAAACAGTATTCACATGTGTGCTACAAGCACTTGCATATACAGGATGTCTTGAAAAAATAGAAGTAATCAGACCGATGACGATGCGAAAAGTTTTTTATTTTTAATTATTAATTACTTAAATTAAAAGGAAATTATTTTAATTTAATTTCCTTTTAATTTATAATTAATTTAATTTATAATTAAGTATTAACTCGATAGAAACAAGGGGTACTTATAGACGTTAAAGTTTCATCAGAACTATAGCAGACTGTAATGAGATTATTCCAATTAGACAACAAGTTCCGACAGATACGAGAGCCTAGCGGAATATCCACAACACCCTTATACTCGTTTAAAGACTGTTGTTAATGAATTAACATTATTATTTTGAAGGCGGTGGTAAATAATCACGTCTTACGAATCTTTCCTAACAAAAAATTAGTTTTGCTTGACGGATATCAGACTTGTTCCTGCCGAATATTGAAGCATTAATTATCGTTTATTTGCTCTTCTCTTCTCTTTTTCAGAACTTTGTAAATTTACGCGAATGTGAATTGTATTAGCAATATTTACAAAAAAAAAATCTGCAAACACGATAAAGAAATTTAATCTATTGTTCAATGCGTGAAAATAAAATTTTAATCGAATATCCACGGAACAGCTATCGAACAAGATCTATTCTCTGAAAGTAGACTTTATTTTGAAACACCTAGTATATGTAATATTAATATATATGTACATACAATATATAGACATTTACAAATACGGCAAGAGTATTTTTGAGGTTGATATCAACGCCATTCGATATCAACCGATATTCATAGTCGGAATATCGTAGTGTACGTTTCGCTTCGCTGTTCCGCCGTTCATTTGGAAATGTCCGAAAGTGTCATTGCAAACTAACACGTGCATTACACATACCGTGACACGATTCGTGTGACCTGTTCGTGCTAAATTTATCCTGTTCGTGTCGAAACCGCAATGTGTTCTCCTCTGATTTACAACGGCTCCGTATTGCCGTATGCACACGTATACGCTGTATTCACGTGTAACGTTATCGTTACGTGAAGTTCGCCGCACATCAAGTGAGTGATTTTTCAATCATCTTTTAATTTTATCTTCTAACAAACTGTGTTTGCCACAAAATCCACAACTGTTGATCAGCAGAAGTCATTCAGAATTAAAAATTCCGACGACAGTCGACTCTTGAAAAAGGTAAACTAAACTTTCTTTACAAAAAAGGTGTAGAATTGTTATTTGTTAGGCTAAACTGAGACAAATGACGAGCTAATTTTGATTTCAGTTCAATAGACGTAAAGTGAAACAATAAATTAGGTAAACAAAGATCGTTTATTTTTCGAAAAATTTTATCGAACGATTTTCTAAGAGTATAAAAGTGGTCAAGTTGTGCAAAAATTACAAGTAAATTTATTATATGAATAGACTGTTTACTCTATTTTTCATCATTTGTCTCAGGCTAGCCTAAATAAATAATTATTTATGCTACTTACCATGTTATTTGTCTACAACTAAACACATAACAGTGCCACATAATAATTAGCAGTCCTTACCAACAAAAAAATTGCAATATGATAGGTTAAAATATCGCTTATTGAGCTTATTGTGTTTCATAACACTAAATCTAAGCGTTGATGATAAGAGAGCGCGAGAGTCGCGATGTGTTCTTGCTGAATTAGCGTTTCATTTCTTTGCGACACGTGGACGAAATGACACGGTGTCACTCTTAGCTCTCTCTTCTCATAGTCAAGTTCAGTTAATCGACATGTATAATTATCAACGCATAGAGACGCAAATTCATAATTATTGCTGGCAACGAAAATGGACTTTCCTGATTGCGTTGGTTTGTATCATTTTCATCATATTTCTCATATGGCATTCAACTGATAAGACAGTGAAATATGACACATACCTGGACGATGTACCTGAAAATCTTTATCAAGAAGGTAAGAATTTTATTTTACTATAATTCGTAAAAAAGAATTATTTTTCTTATCTCGCTGTTACAGTGATGAACAAATGGTACAACTTCTCGGGCGGTGAGTAATTCTAATACCTAATTTTGTGATTTTGATTGCTTCAATCGTATAATGTTTCGTATAACAAATAAGGATTTTTAAAGAGAATTTTGATACTGCAAATAAAAGTAGAATAAATTTTACATATGTAAAGCTTCACTTTAAGAAAATGGAATTTTAACATGGAAAAATTACTGATTGCGTCACTCAGACATATCGATACATTTATTAGATTGTAGTACTTGTAAATATAATTAGAACACGTTGTTCAGAGATACAATGTTCACGTACCATCTGTTACGTACCAAACATACTGCGCATTGTTCTGTACATGTTTATAGAAATAATGATCTTGTAAAGTGTTCGATAATTGCTGCAGATGCGCGGTCGCACCGTTGGTCGCTAGTGAAATTCGAGTCGACATTATTAAGAGAAAAAGATAGTTAGAGATAAAAACTAGGAATGTGATTTACCTATTTATTTCGCGCAAAATACAGAGACAACTGCAAACGTCGACAGATACAAAGTATATAATTTCGGATAACTATTGATTGAAAAGTGAGAGAGGAGGCACATTTGCGCGCGTAGGGGGTGTGCGTATGTAGATGTGTAACGGACGTATGATTTTAAGACAGAACAGAAACGATAATATACAGCGAGAATTAATGAGTTTAAAGTTATAACGGAAACGCGATTAATTAGAGAATAACGTTACTTGTCCGAGCACATGGCAACAACATTATGAATTAATAACAATTTCATCATCATTGTGAAAGCAGGAAATTTCGACACTCCAAATAATGACTAAAAAACAATTAATCATCAAATTTTATTTAGGTGAGAAATGGTATAACAAGAAAAATATATTCGCATTGAGCCCGGAGGCCTTTCAAAATCTATTGACGGACGTTCGACAGAATTGGATAATATGGAATCATAATGAGAACGAGTCGTATGATCTTCAAGAACCAAATGTCGAAGATCCATCGATGGGGCAATCGACGGTGATACGTGAAATTCTCAATGAGATGGTAGTAAAACAATTATCACAATTTCATGGGAAATGTAATAAACGAATTCGCGTTTCGAAACAATTCATCGAATGTAAAATAACTCAATCGATTCTCTCTGCGTACCAATAAATACTAAATTTTATTTATTGCTCTCTACAGAAAAATGGATTTTTCATAGAGTGCGGTGCGTATGACGGGGAAACGCGTAGCAATACGTTGTTTTTGGAGCGATTTAACGGATGGTCGGGTCTGTTGATAGAAGCTGATCCTATCAATTTTACAAAAATGTTGCAAAAAAATAGAAGGGCCTACCTATCGCCGACATGTCTTAGCGTCATCAACAGCCCTAGCGTGGTAAGAAAATAATAATGGCGAAATAGGTTGTCATCGTTAATGATGACTTTGAAACAATATTATCAGAGTCGCGAAGCCAGAGATTTGATTTCTGATTTATTGAATATGTAAATGCGTGGATGCTATGCAAATTTCGACGAGAAAATGCGAGCTTCTCGAAATTACAGGAGTTCTTTCTTATGGCGAAAAACGTGGGACGTTTACACGAGCCTGAAAATACGACGCAGGATGCGCCTACAAATTCGCCCGACGTGGCTTACACGGGCAAGCATATTCGCGTGCAGTGCTTCCCATTGTCAGTTTACATCGCCGCGTTGGGAGTCAAGACGGTCGATTATTTCAGTCTCGACGTCGAAGGTAACGAGATCGACGTACTAGAGACAATTCCGTTCAACGAGGTGGACATAAAGGCACGTACCTACAACTTTAGCGCGATCCATATTGAATCTTCATATTTGCGTTTGTCGCGAGATCACTCGCGTCTCTTTCGCCTGAGAAAACGGCGTGTAAATCATTTCTACGTCACATTGATGATGAAATATCTGTACTTTTTAGGTTCTCTCCGTGGAATATATACACAATGCGAAAAAAGATATAAAGGATATAAAGCAGTATATGATCGATATGATGAAACAACGGGGATACTATGTTTACAAGTTCGTTGAGCGATCGGATAACTTGGCGAATGATATTATTTTTGTGAAGCGCGACGTATGACGAACAAGCGCAAATAGGTAAAAAAAAAATTACATTCTAAATGATTATCCATCTGTGGATATTGTCTAATGACTGATATGCATAGTAGCTGTGATTACATATATAGTTTCTGTCAAAATGATAACTAATTTAAGTCGATAAGTGCGAAGAGATATATTTCAGATTGTTAATGAAAACATTTTATTATACAAGATATCTACAGAACCATACACTTTTTTTTTAAATAAAATAAGATGTCTCTCTCTATTTACGATCTACAGAAAACGAAACGACAGATCGCAACGTTATTTTAGTAATTACAAATAAACAGGAATAAATGGAGTTGCACAGTCAAAAATTTATAATCGTATATGGCACACTGCATGTAATCTCATTTGATAGAAATTAATCGCATTTCGTCACAATTCTCTCAATATTTTTATCAATCAACTGATTATTACATAAATGTTCCTGGAAACGCAATGTTTCCAATATTGTATGATAAATAATATGTGAGCCTTTTGTGGCAATATTTTTGAGAGCTTTGCAAGAATAAATTCAAATAAGATGCCGGCTCAATATGCGCATTAAAAAAAACTTTATAATTTATTATTTATTATAAATTCAATAATATATATGTTCTGCATATTTGCTTTTATATATAACAATTTTTAAAGATTCTACATCTTATAAACTTTGAGAAACATACACTGCCAACGTATAATATAGTATTTTGCTTCTTAAAATTTAACAAAAAATATTGTAAATTGAATTAGTTTAATGAACTATTTCGGAATAACTTACAATTACTATACAATTACAGCAAAAATTAATATTTGTTTATTGTCTTACTGTGTGAATAATGAAGTTATAATAGTTTCGCGAAAACAATTCAACTTCCGAGGATCGTATTAAATAATTCTGTAATAATTAAAGACTAGTATTTTAATCACTAATAAGATGTGATAGCTATGATATTTTGTTTTACATCAATACTGATCTGTCAAATATGTATTAAAAAATAATGTTTTGCGTAGGATTTTTTCAAATAGAATTAATTTTCTTCGATCTGCGAGAGAATTGTTTAAAAAAATTAATTTCAAAGAAAGTATGCGATTTTGTATATCAAGAGTCATGCATTTTCTCTCAACTTCTTAATGATCTAGAAAATAGTCTCTCTTCATGCGAACATTCACTAGGAGAATTAAATCCACGGTTACGTAACGTCGCAAATTACGCAAATTATGAAAATCAAGTTTTTAGAGAATTTTAAGTAAACTTTATTTTAACAGAAATTTGATTGAAATTTTGTTATCTCAATATATGTAATATATGTAATAAAAACTAAAGAATTATTTACAACGATGCTTTCTAACACAATTTTAAAAAGATTTGAAACATATGAATTTGCAATTGAGAGAAACGAAAGTAGCGAACTCCTGATTTACTTTGTATCACGTTTATACGCGTGGAACTTTTGCATTGTATATTGTTCTTTAGTGCAATAATAGGCACGCTTGCGTTTAGCAGAGATAACGAGTGGGCGTCAATTGAACGTGATTAATTTAGAACTATATCCTCAGATTTAAACAGTTCTGCCCGAATATTGTTGCTCGACTGAACCATTATCTCTGCCGAATGCGCGTATTATGTAATAGATTGGAGCAGAGCCGGCTTAACACATATTAAGCGGTATAGAAAATGCCAATATATCCTACGATTTGATATTGGCGCAATTTTCGCGCTCTGTTTGTCACGCAGATACGTTAACAGATATCAAATTTCAAGTTTTTTTGTAAACATTAAGTATTAATTAATAAGTTAATGTTTCGTTGGTTCCTATAAAATTAAAATATATTATTGTTAAGATCTTTGTAATACAAATAAATTTTCGGCACTAAGATTGTGTCTAAAGATTTAGGATAAAAACTTCCAATCGGATAGTACAATAATAAAAAAGTTTCTTTTTAAATAGAAACAAACTATTTTTTTAAATGTATTATAATAAATTCATCAAATATTCAAATTAATGCAAAAATATATACGTTAATTTTTTGATATTAAAGAACATTTGTGTAAAAAAGGATAACACTAAAACAGTTAACTGCGCTGCGATCCTTCGAGCAGGGTGGGCATTTGTTGACTTGAATTATCGTTAACAATGAAAACATCAATTATGTACATACATATATCTAAGTCAGACTTTTATTTTATCAGAAAAAAATGAGATGCAGCTGATGTTAAAATGCGAAAATTCCATAAAAGTTCTATATGAGCATTTTTATGGCAATTGCACAGAAGCTTCTCGAGCTACTTCGCGTAGGATCTGCTAATTTACGTAAGCAAAAAAATTACTTTAAATCTATACTAAAAAGTATTTCTTTCTAGATGCCAGCATCGTGTGAAAAATACCTACCATAAATACCTACCGCGTACAATAAAAATATGCCCCAGATAAAATTCAATTAAATTCTGATTTGTGTATAAAATTTGCAATTTCTTTTTCACTTTTGTGCCGATTATTAACAATATCTTGCTTCTGCTGTCGGACTTTATCACTGATTCCGTCGATGGAATAACGAATTTCTGATTCCTAGAATACAACAAAACGGTCTCAGTGATAATCAATGTTAAAATAATAGACAGTTATTAAAAATAAATCTGCTATTTGCAGTAACGCGGTTTTCACGCTTCGTTCTCTCTCACCTACATATCTGCTTAATTAAAGCTACATTAAATTTATCACGGTTAAAGCATTTAGGAACGAAAGGTTCGCGTATCCCGCCTTTTATACGCATTATTAATGCCTGGAAGAGAGTCGTTTTTATTCTAATACTTACCGTATCACGTAGCTCTTTTTTTTTTTATATGAACGTACACAATATATAACGTATAAAATCGAGGAACTAAATCGTTATCGTGATTATGTCACAGCGAGAGAGTGGCTAATACAATTATTGTACTCTAATCTCATTTAGACTCGTGAATCATGTCTAACAAGCTAACGTTGACATAGTAACATTCAGTGAACATTTAATTAACAATTATTTCTTATCCATCGCTACTAAACTCGTGGATATTCTATAATTAAATTAGTTGATATTAATAAATAATCTACTCAATTGTCATCACATATATGAGATACTGGGATGCTATGATGAAGAGCATTGAAAAGAGTTACGACGACGTATGGAGAACCGACCGAAAATTCGATTCGCTATTGCACAATTTGTCAATTTGTATGTTTCACTTTTTAGACCAAACCTGCTAAATTGATCATTGCGTGTAAAATATTCAATAAAATATCCCAATTGCCCGGATGAAAAGTAATAAAAAATTTAACAATGGCTCTGCAGGACGAAATGGAATGAAAGACTCGAAAACAGCAGAGCTGGATGAATCATTTTTCGACGGAATAAAAGAAAGAATTTCGCTTCGAATTTCGCTTTTCAAATGATTCTAGCTTAATTAGGGTTAAACGTAACTCTCCTGCTTCTTCTTAACGATACTCCCGGCCACGACGGCCGTGAGTAAAGGCAATTTGATCTGTTTCTCGGACGCATGGTCGTTGCATGGTACCTTGACGCTGCAACTCTTGTTGCTGCTCTGCCTGCGCCAGAAGTCCGATTGGTTGCTGCTGTAATTTGTCGATCCGGTCGTGTATGTCGCCGTACGTCCCGACGTGTTCTTCCGTCTGCTCGACCGCAGGCAGCACAGCTTGAGGAAGCCCTCCCTGAATTTCGTCGACATCAAATTGTAGAGAATGGGATTGATCGCCGAGTTCAGATACAGCATCACTCTGCAGAAGTACAGGAGACTGTAGTAGCCCTCTATGCCGAGCGAGACGACCATCTTGGGCGGCACGATGATAATCCAGAGCGTGAAGGCTTTGAAGGGCAGCAGGCAAAAGAAGAAGCACAGCACCACCGTGCCCAGCATCAGGACCACCTGCCTGCGGTACTTGAGCAGATTGTTCGCCGGTCCGCGGCTTATCGCCGGATTCTCCATCAGGTGTTGCGCGATCACGGTGTACAGGATGATCAGAATGAGCAGCGGGATCACGAAGAACACCACGATCGTCGTCACGATGAAGCCCGTCATCCACCATTCCGACGCCATGGTTAAGCACGTGGGGATGTACGTACCGTTGCCGTTCTCCTCGACCTCGTAGGTCACCATCAGCAGTATGGGACTAAAATGTGTTGGAAGATATAAAGATCGGTTATTGCCGCGCCTGTGTGTGCGTCGTGCGTGCAGCCAAGCTTTCGGCAAATTATTACAATGCTGTGTGAATGTAGCCTGCTGTGCAGCGTTAAGCCTCTTTAAAATACATCGCGACATTTTGATAAAATATCTTGGCAAAAGCCTTTTTCTGCGTTATCAAACGATTTATATGCAAATGTAGCATATTTCTTATTAAAAATTTGTATAATTTATGAAAATAAGAGTGAAATTATTTGACACGGGATACTCTCGTGAACAAGTTTCATGTATTTTTATTCTAAAAAGATATTTATAAGAAATATTTCCGTGACATGTTTGATATATCAGACTCCACTTAATTGCTTGCAATTATGCTGAAAGGGATCACACTATTTAAAGCCGAACTTTTCGGATGTAATCACGCCCGTAAATAAATCATTTGTTTGTTTCTGGGGTACACAATTGTTAAAGTTAATGCCTCATGTCGAAACAATCAATTTAGGTTGCCAGAGATTGCCTTTTTCAGAATTACTCAGAGAATTACTCCAGTGATTTTCATTTCAAATAAAAATAAAAGTTTGAATTTTTCAATGCTTCCTCATTATTTTACAACAAGCACAGTTTTCCGATACTTTAATGTTTTTTTATGGCAAATATAATTTTTTAATGTTTCCATATTTTTTCACGATAGGTATAATTTTATAATATTTCTATACATTCTTTTATGGCAAATATAGTTTTCCAATACTTTCATATCCATTTAATGCAAGTGCTATTTTCAGTACATCCACATTTTGTTTCAGCAAGTATATCAGCTTTAAAAGATCATTTAACGATAATAGTCTCTCTCTAATGTTGACTCGTATTTTAATTTAAATGTCATTGATCGGCCACTTTTTACAAGAGCGTATCATCGCGTTGCGACTTTGATAGCAAATCACAGTAACCAATCTCTCGATCCTCCAATCATAAAAAGTTCTCTTCCTGATTCAGATCTTCCTGCTGATGCGCCATCATTCTTCTAGTGCCGATAATTGTGCTTCTACATGTCCCTTGCTTGCTGTCAAAACCGCACAGTTTCAGGAAACCCCGCCTGAATTTGCTGCTCATCAGATTGTACAGTATCGGGTTGCCGGCGCTGTTCAAATAGAACATGATCCTGCAGAAATTGAGTAGACCGAAGAAGGTGTCGGAATCGATCGCGGCTATGTGCTTGGCGGGCGCTATCACGATGTAGAAGATAAGGAGCCGGTACGGTGACAAACACACGAAAAAGCTGACCACCACCGTCAGCAGCATGTACACCACCTGCCTTCTGGCGCGGCTGTGATACGAATCGCTGATGTTGCCGGACGTCGACGAGTCGCGAATCAGGTGTCTCACGATAAGCGAGTACAACACGACGAGTATTACGAACGGCGCGACGAAGAAGAGCAACACTAGCAGCAGGAAGAACGTCACGCTGGCGATGGTGTCGGCCTGCGTCAGGCATACCGCCACGCGATTCACCTGACTTGCCGCCTCCTGCTGATCGCTCCCGACTGCGCCCTGCGCGAGCCCGTGACTCGTCATTCCCATTTCGCGATACTGCGACACCCAGATCATCGGACTGCAATCAATCGGAAAAAAAAGCGAGATTGCACTTTATTTCAGTTTGCACTTGTTTCTCGGCTTCGACGAAGCGATAGGCGGACAGAAGAAGGAGGCAGCGAAGCGAGACGGAGTTCAATTCGACGTTTGATTGCTTGGCAGATCGAGAATAGCTGAGTGGAAATGCTCTTCAGTAAGATGGATCGAGATCACGAAGACGTAAGCTGATGAGATAAAGACAAATTGCAGTTTGTAATACGTTGATCCATCACTAAGCTAAGATGTGTTTAGATGGTTTAGACAGTTTACTTTTCCAACGTTGCTTAATCGTGTCTTAACTTGGTAAAGATAGATGCGTACCGCAAAACTTTATCTGCATCACTATTTGCTCTGTTGATTGAGACGATTATACATCTTGTTCGCGCACACTGTTCACGTTCACAACGATGTACAAAGTGTCGATGATCCATATCGGAGAAGTTATTGCCGCGCATGTTAGATTCGCAACAAGAAAGAAAGTAGTTTTTAATTTTTGTCTCATAAATAAAATTTCTTTCTTAACTAGAATGCCTCGAGTATTCTATCGATGTCAACATAATTTCATTGAAAAAAATAACTGTCAGAAGTTATACAAAAATAATTTTAAACTTTTATTTTATATTGAATTAAATTTAGGAATGCTTAGAATAATTTACACATAAATATAAATTTATTCTTTAAACTAATTACTGATGTAACAAGGTTTATTTTTTATTCAATAGTTTTAAAATTATTTTGATCGATTGGCAGCAAACTTTATTTAGTAATCTAGAGAAGTAGAGATATTATTATATTGATTATTAATATAATAATGCTACATATTTTTTTTATTATTACTCTTCATTATTGATTTCTAGAATTATAGAAATTATTATTGCAAACAACTGTCATTAATTTGTAATTTGATTCAACAGGTGTGATTGTTTCGCTTGTCCATTTGAGTAAGTCGAAATTCTCGAAGTAACGCAAGATGTTTTTATCAAAAAAAGTAATAAAATATTTTTATATTACTCTTTTCTTTCATTTTTTTTGTTTCTTTATTAATTTGTTTAAAATTATTAAAATTCTTTAAAAATATTATCTATTTTTAAAGAAATAATATTGTATTTGAGCTCTTTGAGCTTATTTATTAAAGTTTTTGATTATTAAAGAATGTAATTTTTGCCTTTTATTTATAATACTTCCTATGCCATGTAAAAGTAATTTTCTACAAAGTAAATATTCAAGATTTAAGAAATTTCAAGATATTCGAATTAAAATTGTAAAGTAAAAAAATCTTTTTTTTTATCAATTTATGAGTACAGATGAAGGGAAATAGCAAGTGTCTCCGTGTAATCACTTTCCCACGCGGTGAAACAGAATATCGCGTTTTTTTTCTGGTTCTGACACTTTACACGGGACACTACAGATCGAACCCAATTTTCGCGCGCCGAGGATAGGGTAGTATCGAGTTTCCCGGAGTGCTTGGTGAAATGTGATTTCGATAATTGCGCGCCGCCGTTTATTTCGACGCGACGTGTAAAAAAAGTGATGGTCTTTTTAACCCTTAAGTAAAAAGCGCAGTAGAAAGTTGTACCGACACCTGTGTTAGGTCCTTTCGATTCTCACTCATTCAAATGTATCTATAAAGGTATAAATAAATGTATCTATAAATTTTTTCGTTGCTATTCAGAAAAATTGAGTGAAAAATCAAGTTTGCATTATAATAAATATAAATAATTATTTTTTATCATTTTTGTTAGAACCATCATAAAACAGCTCTGCCAACAATTCTCTTTTAAAGCCTACTCGAATATTTGTAAATAAAAGAAAGAAACAAATATGTTGTCATTAGAAATATGTAAATTATTATATAATTATCTTGTGTTATATACTTTCTTTTCATATTTGCAAAATTTGTATTTATCTAGAACTATCTAAATATGAAACTTGATTGAGTTATATAAACTGACGAATCTGAGAAACTTCGAAACAGTTATGCATTATCCTGTTGAAATTGCGTTGTTGCGTTTGCTTGTCTCACGTAAAATCGCTCGATTTTACGTGAGACAAGCAAACGAGTGATTTTACGTGAGAACTAGTTTTGGAACAATTTATCATTGAATCGCATCGTTGTGCATATTCAATGACGCGAGATATGATTTTTGCTGAAACTCTTCAAAACTTGTCAGTGGAACATTTTTCTCGATCTTGTTTTCAAATTGTTATAAATATATGAAATTCAAATTTATGAAATTCATGATTGCTATAGGTAAATATTTTTGAACGGTAAAGACTTCACGGGAATTACACTTTTCAATCTACCATAGGAAATTGAAATATAGAAAAATTAAAATTAGAATGAAAGTACGTCATAAACTTGTTACACTTAATGAGAAAATACGGCACACGCTTTTTATTTTTCATGTTAAAAAAAATCTTATTTAACGTCAAAATAAAAATTACAATTCTAGGACAATTCTATTTATTATATAATAGCACTGAAAGCTGTGACATGTCTTTTCCATTTATTATTTCATTCTTATTAATGTTTTAGAAATATTGAACAGCTAATACCTATATGAAATATAAAAATGCAGATTCTAGAATTTTTGTTTCATACATAATATATGACAAAGGAATAATATTTTTTCGTGAAAGATAACATCAAGTTGTGCATTACTTATGGCTTACAGCGACAGCAAAATTTTATGAATTCGCAAGAAAGCATGTAAGTATATGTACAGCTGTAAAGCATGTAAGTATTTATGTAAAGCTGATTTTAAAGTTGTTCGCGAAATTACGAGCTGTCAACGTAATCCAAGAAGATAAAAGAAGTACACTTTCATCTCTAAAACTAACTAGTTTGCATACCTGTAATTTTATATTTTTGGTATGTTTCTCCAAATTCTAAAAAGCAACTTCATTTTATACTGCAAGTTTTATTTTCTGTATGCACGATATTACAGCAATTTGCGATAGTAATTTTAATGAAAGATTCTCTAATGAATTTGGTCGCTGAATTTAATCTTGAATTCGGTTGCCTGCACTATTGCGCACTGGTGTACGTTAAAAGCTGTTGTACGTAAAATTAACTACAAAATTTACAAAGGCAAAACATAAGCACCTTTACTCAACAGCGCCTATTTTAAACAAACGTTAAGATATTAAAAATAATGTTTCCACATTATTTAAAGAAATATATGTTGGGTTAAAAATTCTACTAATTACTTCTTTTATAAATGGTAACATTATCAAGTATTTTACCATCAAAATGCTTATGTCAAATTTTAATCTCATGTGCACCTTTAGTGATCGCAATTGCTATTAATAAAAATATCATAGAATTAACAATTTTCTAATTAAAAGCTATTTAAAAGA